TCATATGTTAATTACAAGAATATGATTTAGGTATTACAAGAGTGGTTTACCTTTTGTTATATCTTCTTTCTCATAGTGAATGAGAAAACTTGAGTCATAATAATAAAGGAATTCTATGGTGAAATTATTCTGTGAGAAATCTGAAAGAGGAAAGGAGTCATGTCGAAATGTCGCCGTCATGATCCATATCATGACTAGTTTTAAACTGCTACAAATATAATGTTGTGAATGCACAAAACGAAAATGAGAAAACACTTGGAATAAACCCATTCTGTCCTAGTCAGCTGTCATCCAAAATCTATCTGCCCTACATGAAAAGTTTGTTGTTCAAGGCCTCAGTACACATGTCAAGAGTTATATGGTAGACATGTTGCGAACATTTCTTTTCAGGTGGACGGTTGATGCGTGTGCTTGTGGTGGATCCTACCGGCGGGGCAGGACACGCCCACCTTTTCACTACCACCTTGTATTATCACTATTTGATAAAACGGGGGGCGGAGCAGATATGTTTTGCATTGAGACAAGATATTTTCAGCTGCAGCTGCATAGCTAGATAAAATAAAGCTGAGCCTCAATATAAAAAACAAAAACATCTTGCAACAATGGATGTTTAAAGGAAGGCAATTTCTTTGTTTTTCAAAGAACTGAAGCATAATTATGTTCGTCAAGTATTTTCTGGGACGATATTATTTTCCCCGTAAAAATCGCAGCCCCCGTTCCGTAACCGAATGTCAAGTGGTCGGTCTCTCACGATAAACATGGGTCTTCATGGGGTACCGATGGAAGCGCGACAAGATTCGAGACAGGAACTTACTTGTTTCTTACTTATTTGTTTTGATACCATTTTGGAAACCGAATTCCTGACGGATAACACTAACAAGTTACTACTTTGCCGACAAAATGAAACCAAGGTATGAAGCCGTTAACAACACAAGGTAGCGTACGATTACAATTACAATATGTCATTCTTTAAGATCAGATAATACTAGTTGGGCTTATGCCTGGTACGCAAACGACACGTGCACACACAGGCTGATGATGTGGAGTGATATTGCTGCCACTGTCGTGTGTTGTTTATATCACAATACACAAACGACACGTGTACCATATGCACAAACAGGGCCTGATATAACTTACATGTCCTGCTATATCGTCCAGTATCACACAGATCCTCTGTGCCATTTAGGGTCAGTTTTGCATAGCTACATCCACTAGAGTAAGAGCTGAGCGTGATGTCTAAGATGAGGCTCTGTTTGGGGACATGGCCAACGATGATATAGGTAGAAGTAACCTGATTTGATGAACCTGCTCCAGGAAATAATGGACCGATCAACTGGCCACTATTCGTGGTGTACGTCAGTTTATTGTTGTCCACATCTGAAACAACAGAGTAAATGCTAGATTAATGTACTTTACATGTTGAAAGGATAGCTTGGACGTAATGAACAAGGGTTATCCATTATAGGAAATATTGCATATAAAGGCAAAACTTACTTTGGTATTTAGTTCACGTCTATTTTCACTTCAGTCCTAACCTTATATCCCTCAGCTATTCAATGGTCAGTTCTTTATCATTCAGTTGGAATCCATATGCACAGACAAACGACACAAAGCTGTTCATGGTTGATGTTTTTTATCATCTAGTCTGTGTTAACTTCAAGCCCTAACCTTATCGTTTCCTAAGCTTGATATTCAATGTTTAGTCCCCACAAGAAGTATGTATTGAAACCATGTACAAAAATTCTACCTTCAACAACGTAGTCGACAACAAAGTCACCACAAGAGTCCACAGATCGACCTCCACCATGAGTCACAATATCTGCACTGCCAAAAAATGCATCTGAAAAAAGACACGTTTTATTTTAGTCTTATTTGCACCTCAATTTTGATAAAGTTCGGCACAAAAGTAATTAACTACGTCATAGTGGGATATGGGGCCGGGCGTTCCTTTGAAAAAATGAAGAATACAATGTAGAAATATAAATCTAACTTGAAATCAGTGCTTGCGGGAGTCCCTCAAACCTCTGTTTTTGGACTATATTTAGTATTCATCTGATGAAACAGATCCATGTGACATCATAGATGACCCAGAATAGTTAAGTATCTTTATGTCTTTATATAAAGAATTCATAATAGTTTTTAAACTGGGCAAAAACTGGGAAACAGAATCTATTATCTATGTGCAAGAAAGAGAACAGCAACATCAATGTCAGACATGGTTGTAATGATATCAAGATGAAATCAGCTAATGTCCTTAAAAAACATGAATTTACTTTGCAGAGTATTGTTATAGAGGAAACTGCATATCAATGGTATTATTACTAAAACGAGCCCTATGGTCAACTTTTTACGAACTTCGGAATATCGCGGAATAGTCTCCAAACAATATTTGTCTTTTTCTAAAATAAAGAAATTGTGATAATAACGTAACCAGTAACCAGTGAACATAACTTATTGAGAACATAAGAAACATGAATTTAAAAGATTATTCATTGTAAAATAAATTGCAGTGACCTCAATGGTCACAGAGAATGAATGCTTTATTTAACTTCTAGTTGTGGCTTGATTATTTATTTCATATTTTAGTTACATAAGTTCAACATGTTATTTCCACAAGGAGCGTTTTGATATCAGTACTGTATTATTCGGTACTTTCAATTGATCAGACACATTGATTTTGAGATAAAATTGAGTCTGTCAATGGTTTGCCCTTACAGAACATTTTAGCGTCAGAATATACATATAAGAAAGTACTTTACAATAATCCATACATGCGATCTTGCCACATGGTGTGCTTTAGTTTCAACTAGTCTACATAATAGAAAAATAGTGATCGAAAACCACCGAATAAATCCGATGTCTCAAATAAGTTGGTCGAAACATTCGGTGAATATGCAGGTAGCTGAGGCCATGTAAATCACCATCGTCCCTTGTAAGGTGGCCTAGCTTTGGTTGCTGGTGCTTGTATTTTAAAAGCTCAAAATGTAATATTGATGTGTATGTTGATTAGAATATTTAAGTATTTGTAATGGTTCGTTCTTAGGCCCGAAATTTGTAAAATAAATGTTTTTCTGTCCTTTGTGGCATTTATCAACATAACTGTTCTTGTCACTAAAATGGCCAAGACACTGCTTATGTGGCGTTGCATTTTAACTTACGCACTCACTTGTCGAGAAAATTAGCCGAGGGTGTTTTTGTATCGTAAATTTGATAAATTAGGAATACAAAGTTTATTCTTGTGTTCCTAACATATGATATTTTTCGATACGGAAGCATGTCGCGGTAATGGTCTGTCTATGATATGATGTCACTTTAAAAATAATGGAAGTTCAAGACATATTGCTATTCATTAAAGTAACTGTTAAAAACGCGTGGGAATGTAAAGCCTGGGTGAACCGCCCCATGTATGATGTAGCACCAAATAACTTGCAGCCATGTTTGTTTTATTTGAGCACCCGTACATCGGGAAACTACTATCCCTTTGGGAACATAATGAAATGATTTGTCAGTAACAACACACCACAACAATACACAGAGCTTACTAAACGTGTTCACCATTATTTGATAAATACTTGCATACGGGATTACTCACAATAGACCGTTTGCCTATTGAACAATTCACTTTCCGTTTTGAAAGTAAAATATTGTTTAAAACACTAGCATCTCAAAAAACAATTCATCACGCTTTCAGATATATTGATTCCTTTCAACTGTCATCCCTGAAGTTGTAGAAAGAAAGCAAAATAGATTAATTAGTCAAGAAAATCATACAAACAGCATCACTGTTTCTGCTTACAAGTTGTTTTGAAGGGGGTTGAAGTGCATAGTTTTCGTCCGCCATCAATGGTAAACCATCCGAGATCACAGTTAGTGCTGGTTGTGAAGATTATAGAGACGAAGTTCAGGGTTAGTGTTTGCAACTTCCCGCTGCCTATGACGGTATTGGTGCAGTTGTTGTAGGTGCAGTTGCAGGAGTAACATGGCGTCGATATCTGTCCCGGTGTCGTTAAGTGGGTGGAGGTGCAGGTGTCTGCAACATGGGAGTTAAATGTATGCCAATCGTCTTTCATTTTCCATTTCAATAATCCCCCATCCCTAGAAGTCATCCGCTATATTGACGCCAAAGACGAATTCTCGATTACAATGGAGAAAATTACCACAGTTGAAGTGAGACTAATACATATGATATTGTTTCATTTTCGTATGTTTTCAAAATCATCACACATGTTAGACAATCGTTAGATCCCAGTAGAATGATCACCATAGTGAACCAATCTAAATGTAGTAGTATTAACAACCTTTGACATGTTTAAAAAGTCTTCCAGATCAAAAGGCCTTATTCGTCTCAAGTTTTTTCATAGCAGTCGTATGACAACCTTTTAAATATGTGTCTCAAAAACTTAACTTTTATCACCTCCGACCGCTAGTTGGAATCAAGACCAGCAATACTGGTGCCAACAATGTTATAAAGTTCATGCACAGATATATCTGACATATATTCAAATATTTGTATAAACCTACGCGTACACTCACGAATTATCGAGAATGTATCAGTGAGTTTGTTGTTCTTTATCGGAAGCATTAAGTTCAATATCACTCTTTCAGATATACAAGTATTGACATAAGTGTTCAGGTTAGCACCTTTACAGCAAGCGGAGGCGTTTGCTTTCTTTGCATAATACCAAATTCAACGAACGGTAGAACAATCTTTCGGAGCAGACAAAACTTCTCTGATATTGTTTTGGCAATTGATATTTAATTGCATCTCTTGTTTGCTTCAGTAACTGTCCAACAGATTGACAACAATACATAGATTGTACATATACACATGTGACAGCTTGACGTAATCTAGTTACATATAAACTCCCAGTCATGATATATGGTTGAATATATCATAAACATATGTAAATGAAATACTCATAATTGTTATGGAGAACAGAAGAGACGATACGTGATTATTACGAATCAATAATGCGTATTAAGGTAATAAGAAAGTGTACCGTGTGCGTCCACGCCAACAGAGTAATGCATCTTAAACCCATAACTAGCGCTTCTGTAATCACTTCTAAACTTGATGATGAATTTATCCTGGAATGCATCTGAAATAAAAACGGTGCTACAATGATCGTTGCTGGAATTGAATAATCAACGCTATTGCCATCATACGTTAAATTGGTAATTATTTGAGGCTCTTATTCCAAGTTGGATAGACGGACGCTTGAGGCAAAAAGAACAAGAGTGAAAGCGGTCCACCGTTTTTGTACTTCTTTTCACTCGTGTCATTCGAGGATAAAAAGTAATCATAGACGTAACTCACATACAGATAACAAAGACGTATCGCAAATACCTATAGTATAACAGAGAAGAATCACACAGCCATATCGCACAGACGGACACAAAGCCGGATCACACAGGAATATCATACACATGTATAAGACAGACGGTTCACATACAGGGATCATTCAGATATGTAATTCACACGGATCACAGAGACGTTTCACACAGGCATATCCTGCCTGATGTATCATACACATGGACGACGCTGACGTACAACACAGACGGATCACATAGCGATATCGCACTCACACAGGTCACACATACGGATCTTACAGTTTGGTCAACTAGATAGGTCACACAGGTGGATTACACATACATACCATAAAACGGATCAGACAAACGGATCATACACTTCTTTTATGCACTGTCTCTTTGTATGTCGTTTCAGATGGATTCAATGCTTACATGTCTTATGGAACGTTGTTTCGTAGCACAGATTAGGGCCATCGTCTATGATGAGCCAGTCGTAGGAACAGTCGGAAACAACTTTCAGGTCAAGCTGAAGCAGGTCTATGGTGATACTCTGGTTCTGCCCATCACCCACGACGACATACGTGCAGGTGAGGTAGTGGTAGGCGGTACCAGGGTAGCCAGGGCTGGTTATCTCCCCCTCACTGGCGGTCAACGTTGTCGAGCAGTTATCTGAGAATGAGAGAAACAGCACGATAACCACTTGTGGTCTTAGCATTTCATGAGGGTAATCACATTTCGAATGACCAAAATCATCAACTTACCTGGCAGCAAAACAATAGTTGTGCTAAATACGCAAGGATTGGTTGCGCTGGTTTATAAAACTTAAATACAAAACAAGGAGTATGTGAAATTTGCATTCATTTCCTACGATATGATACCATTATATATATCTCTATCTGATAATATATTGAATCAAATGATTAGTCAGCACATGACTGAAGGGGATAAACGAAGCCATTTTGCAAAAAGAACTTACATAAACTGTACAGATGTAGGTGATTTTGAAACACAACAATAGAAATAGCAGCAACGAAAACTATTTGTATATAATAAAAGACCATTTGTTACAACACCACGTGAAGCAAAAGCCCAGTGTGCTGTTTTCTTCAAACTGTCAGAAAACTGGTCAACTTGACATGTTTGTACTCACAACTGCTTCAGGAATGCGCTATTTCATTACTAAGAATGTGGATGATTGACACAGCATAAGTGACGAACCATAGAAACGTTACAAAACTAAAATTTGGACAATCCGAATAGTGTTAAAAACAGTTGAGCATTAATCGCTCAATAAACCCCGAAACAACTGGCTGACTAATGCATTTGCTACAGTACCAAGATCTGGAGATTTTGGAAGGACACATCACGGGCCACTGACCAATCTCTCTACCCTGTTGTACTACCGTTTTTGCAAAAGAATCCCCAGGCCTTGTTTCAGCAAGATAACACAAGATCCCATACAAGGTCTAGGCCAGACTTATCACCTGTAGAGCACTTGTGGGGTCACAATAACCGTCAATTAATTCACGACCAGGACACTCTATACAAAGGATGAGTTGACACAACTAACGTCTAACATCTTCTAACATCTTCTGCCCATCGTCAAGTTGGGGCGTGCATTGATGCCCGTATCGGGTATACGCGATATTGACTGACAAGTGTGACATTCTGAAGAGTTAAAGGGAGTTTCATGTGCTGTTTTCAGTCATGACGTTAGTCAGTCAACCGTGCACACAATGCCTTCCTTTTCCCTCTCTTCCATGAGTAAAACTTGTAATGATTTTAACTTCTGTTCTATTTTTAGAAACAAACAAATGTTGATTGGTGTAGTTTCTTTTGTTGGTCAGTTTTCGCCATCACAATAAACTAATTTTATTTATGTATCTGTTTATGCTGTATGAAGTACGCTTAATGGGCATTTCACATCACACTAAATAACTGTTTCGTTCACATCACAGGACAAGCGGGGTCAATAACCTTGCCTAAGGCTACAAAACTGTGACTTGCATGATATGACCTCATTAAAAGTGAGATTTTAAATGATTATTAATAGAAAAGAGTTACAGGCATACTTTCTCTCATGCACATATCTCTATGCCAAATAGTATGGCTTTGCTCACGAATTACTCTGTGTTGATGAAAATAGCCACACTGCGGTCGATAGTTTGTATTGAGGCTGAACATAGCATGATGGTGGGTGTGGTTATTATTTACATAAACTTTTGAGCTGTGTTGTCTTTTAAAGAAAACAGACTTCTAGTCTTATCTAGTCCCTTAGTTCTTACCAGAAGCATGTATTTCAAACCAAGTACACAAACTCTACCTTCAACAACGTAGTTAGCAACAAATCCAACAGAGTTGACAGATCGACCTCCACCTTTGGTCACTATATCTACACTGCCAAAAAATGCATCTGAAACAAGACAAGTTTTGGTTATTTTTCTTGAACATCAAATTTGATAGCGCTGGGCACAATAGTCTTAGTCAAAAATTACGTCTTAGTGGGATAGAAGATCTTGTTTTTATATGGTTTGAACGTTATTAAAAAAAATATACCAATGCACCGTAATAATATACTGCCACATATATAACATAAAATCTGTGCTCGCTCGCGGGACCGTATTTATGTTATGCACAGAAGATAGTTATCATATAATGGGTAAGTTTGATGACGAGGTAAAGTCAACTGATGAAAACAGTATCCTTTTGGTTTATATGACAATAAAGTTGCACATAAAAGGTGAGGAAGATACGACTTTCAGTTTTTCAAAACAAAATGATGCTGCCACTGTCTATCAGCGATCGAGTCAGAATTAACCATCGGGGATCTGGAAAAATTACTCGAATAACTGTTGTCATTATCAAATAATTGTCTAAGATACTGACATTGAGTGTTTGATAGGGACGCAGCTGGGGCATTTTTACAAGTTTTTTACCTTTGAAGATCTAAATTTAAAGATATAAATCTAGCGCCGTAGCAGGATCAGTTTCCATATATATGCGTTTAGACCTCTGGTGATTGGGGTCATTCACCCACTTTAAAAAAGGCGGATTTGGCCGAAATCTGTCCTAAAAGTTAGTTTGTTTCATTTTAGCTGTTGGCGTCTTAATGGGTTCCATGGCATTACGACAGCCCAGACAAACATACTTGACGTCGCACAGACTACAACAGCTTCCCTTTGGTAGAAGGCAATAACACAAGTGGGTGGAATGATGGATTGCCGCAAAAGAAAATAACACGTGTAGGCAATTGCCGCTTTGCATATATATATATAATTGTCAACACGTGTTATCATTATCCGAGGGTGTTGTAAATATTGTATTATTTTATTCCCAATATATTATATTTTCTAGATGAACAAAAAATCTCTCTATCGTATAATGTTATTCTGAGAATTAAACTTCAAGACATATTGCTTTTTATAATAGTAAGTTTAGGAGCCGCGAAGGAATGTAAAACCTGGGTAAACCGCTTCATGTATGACATACATCAAGTGCTAACTGATTTGCAGCCATGTCGGTTTTCATTAGTACTCACACAACGGGAAATCATCACTTTGGTAACATTGTAGAATAGTTTGTGAGCCACATTGCTGCACAGAGCTTACTAAGTGTTCACCATATTTGTTAAATACTTGTATTGGATATGTCTTAAAATAGGCAGTTTGCCTTTTGACCAATGCACTTTTCGTTTTTGAAAATATAATATTGTTTAAACCACTGTCATCTAAAAAAACAATAAGTCACACTTTCAGATATATTGATTCCTTACAACAGTCACCTCTCAAGCTGAAGAAAGAAATGTATGTATTTTTAAGAAAATCATACAGACGGCATCATTGTTTCCGCTTACATGTCCTTTTAAAGGGTGTTGAGGTGCATATTTTTGGTCCGCCATTAATTGTAAACCACCCGAGATCACAGTTTGCTCTGGTCGTGAAGTTGAGAGAGACGAAGTCCAGGGTCAGTATTTGCAACTTCCCGCTGCCTATGACGGTGTTGGTGAAAGCGTTGTTGGTGCAGTTGCAGGAGTAACATGGCGTCGATATCTGTCCAGATGTTGTAAAGTGGGTGGAAGTGCAGTTGTCTGCAACATGGGGTTTAAATGTATGCCAATCGTCTTTCATTCTCGGTCTCAACAATCCCCAATCCCACGAAATTGAATACAACGTTAGTTATTCGCACGACTGACGTCAAAGAAGAACGACTGATTACAATGAAGAAGGTGACCATAGTTCAAGTAATTAAGACACATGATATAGTTAAGCTTCCATAATGATTACATACATGATAGACAATCGTTAAGGTCGATGACAAATGTTTAGCATAATAAACCAATTTGAAAGCATTTTGACTACCTTTAAGATATTTGCATATGTTTGATTGCTCTTCATGTTCAAAAGAGGAAAGTATGACCTAAAATTCATATGCATATTTAGTAGGTTCTAGTTATATATGATATGACAGTTATCATTTATGGTTCAATGTATCATAAAAGTATTTTTGATGAAACACTTGTAATTGTTATGGAGAACAGGACACACGAATCAATAAATGCCTATTAACGTAATGACATTGTGTACCGTGTGCGTCCATGCCAATGGAGTAATGGATTTTAAACCCTCTACTAGTGCTTCTGTAATCAGTTCTAAACTTGATGATGAATCTATCCTGGAAGACATCTGAAACGAAAACGTTGCTATAATGGTCGTGATGGAGATGGAGATATGATCAACATGTTAGCATAAAGTACAATGGTAAAGAGTCGAGTCTCCTACTTCAAGTTGTATAGACGTTTGCTTGAGGCAAAACGAACTAAAGGTGAAAGTTGTCCCTCGCTTTTGAACAATAAACACATCGCCTTCGATTTCTATTCACACGTGTCATTTGAGGACTAAACGTTATCACACAGAGATATCGCAGTGACAGATCACACAGACGAATCTCATGGACGTACTACACAGACGGATCATATGCACGTATCACACTTACGATTCACACACACGGATCACCTAGCGATATCCCGATATCATATGGGTCTTGCAGTCGGTTCACACAGACGGATCACACAGACTGATCACACAGCCATGTCACAGTCACACGGGTCGCACACATGGATTTCATGTAGCTCTCACTTTGTATTTCGTTTCAGATGGAGTCAGTGCTTACATATCTTATGGAATGCTGCAGTTGAACATAGTCGTGGACCATCGTCTATAACAAGCCAGTCCAAGTTACAGTCGGAAGCAACTTCCAGGTCCAGCTGAACCAGATCAATGGTGATGTTCTGGTGCTGCCCATCGCCCCTGACGACATACGTGCAGTTGAGGTAACTGTAGGGGATGCCAGGGTAGCCAGGACTGGTTATCTCACCCTCACTGGCGGTCAAAGTCGTCGAGCAGGTATCTGACAATGCGAGAAAACAGCCAATAACCACGTGCGGTCAAAGCATTCCCTGATCATATAACGATCTACCAGATTGCATTATTATCTTAACCTCACAGTAACATATAAGTTATACTGAGACCACGATGATTGTTTGTGTTGATTTATAATTGTGACATGTATAACATGGACTATTCATATGTTTGTAAGATATTCATTCTCTACGATATGATACCATCATTCTCATTCTCACTCTGTTGAACACATAGACAACGAAAAGGGGAGTAGTCAGTACCAACTTGAAGGGGATTACCAGGGCCATTTAGCTCAAAACAATGACATCATTTCATGGTCCTCTCTCATTTGATAGAATACATATACATAAATAAGGACTAAAAGAAAAAATCCATGTCACAAACTTTCAGTCGACTTTTGGTCTTTTAGCTTTACTTCATAACTGACAAATGGCCAGATTGAATTACTTTTATTTATGTTTGGCTTTCATTATGTTTTCTTAATCGTCATACACATAAAGCATATTTAGGGTCGTGCGGAATCGCTCATCATTATGAACCAATCCAATAGCGATCGTATTGCCAACCTTTAACAAATTTATACGTATTTGATTGTTCTTCCAGTTCAGAAGGGGAGCTTGTAAACTTTTTTTTTTTTTCACGAAACCACAAAGCTTGATTCTCATTTCAGGTTTCAACAACTTATCTGTTTTAATTTTACCGGTAGTTTGACTTATAATACTCCATACTGAACCCTGCAATGCTATAAGGATATTCATACTCAGATATATTTGTCACGAGTCTTTACCGGAAGTGATAAGGTCAACGTCACTCTTCGAGATATAGTTGAATCAACTTTGACTTTCTCTAATATTGTTCCAGTCATAATTGCACTCCGATTTTCTTCAATAACCTTTCCATTCTTATCCTACACTCAAGTCGAACAGAAATAGTAAAATAGAATAGGCAAACATCATGGACAGTAAATATAAACGTTTAGCTGGTTGACATAATCTAAGTACATGTACATATATAGTGTACATTGATTGAATGTATCATACAAATGTGGAACGAATTACTTGTACTTGTAATCCTTATTGAAAACATTATATGCTATGATAAATGATTAGGGATTTAGGGGTTGGGAGTGTCTATGTATGTGTGTGTGTGTTGAGGGGTGGCTTTTTTTAATGCGATGTTTTTTCTTCTTCACATAAAGACATCTGAGGTTGTTTACGTCACATTTCAAACTAAACCTGTGAAAAGACTGTTATAATTTTCTCACTGTTTACTAAAATATCATGTACAGGTGTAGTGATTTTAAAACAGAACAATGAAAATAGCAGCAAAATATAACATTTATGATAATAACACAATATAAAAGACAATTTTAGCCTAGTGTGCAGTCTTCTTCCAATTCTCAGAAAACTGGTCAACGTGACATATTTGTACTCACAATTGCTGGAGTAATGCAATTTTCGATTACTAAAATTGTGGATGATGGACATGAAAAGCATAACTGACGAACAAAAAAACCCGTTACCAAACTGCAATGTGAACACACTCAGAATAGTGCCCAAACATTACCAGAGTATGCACGTGCAACAGTACCCAAGCTGCTGCACTTGCAGCATGCCAACCACCAAAGATATGGATATGTTAGGAACGACATAAATTTCCTTAACACCCACATGGTTGGACAGTAACAATAAACAGGCTATGATTAACGCTACAGCAGAGAGAGCAAGCCGTTGGTACGATACAAGAAGGAGCAACGCATGACCAGGCTGCAAGGAGTTTTGGCTGTAGCTGAATGACAGTCACCAGGTGGACGGCCTGTGAGAGGCAGGAGTAGAGGTAGCGGACCTCCTGTCACCATCACCAAAGAAAACGTTACACACGTATCCTCAATATCAGGAATCGTATTATCGTCGTTTTATAAACAAACCAAAAAACGCCCCCTATACCCTAGAAATCAAATAGTGCACCCTTTATTACGTTTGCGCCCATGCGCCCTCTTCTAATGACGCTGTGATCAGTTTTAAAAATATTGTTCTATTCAAAATGATGCTATTTTATCATTTAGGGGGAATCCATATGTACAAAGAGCATGAACAATACCTTAACTAAGCTTGATATTGTTGTTTAATGTTCCGTTCTTACCAAAAGTATGTATTCGAAAGCAAGTACACCAACTCTACCTTCAACAACGTAGTTGACAACAAATCCAGCACAAGAGTCCACGGATCGATTTCCACCACGAGTCACAATATCTACACTGCCAAAAAATGCATCTGAAACAAGACAAGTCTGGGTTAGTATTTCACCTCAACTTTGATAAAGTTGGGCACAAAGGCCTTACCTATGACTTCCGTCTTAGTGGGACAGGGGACTCTCTTTTTAAAAGGGCTTTAAAGCTATTTACAAATGTAAAACAATGTACTGTAATATACAGGTATACATCTTATAGAAAAAGCTGTGCTTCGTTTGTGTACCACAGATGGTAATTGTAGTATTCATAAATGATAGGTATCATATACTTGATGAGTTTCACGATGAGATTAAGACAATGGATAAAAAAGGTGTCCGTTTGGTTTTTATACCAATAACGATGAACATATAAAAGGTCAGGAAGGTAATACTTTCAGTGTTTGCCAAAAAACATTGGGCCGCCCTTGTTTATCAGCGATCGAGTTAGAATTAACCATCGAAGATCTGGATGGACAAATTACTCGAATGATTGTTATCATTATCAAACAATAGTCTGAGATACAAAAAATCAGAGTTTAATGGAGACGTAGCTGTAGTATTTTACACGTTTTGGCGACTTTAAAGATATAAAGTAAGCGAGGACACCAGCGCCGTAAAATGATCACTTCCCATAGTCCCAGTTCTTTTTCCCTACTTTAAAACAGTTGTATGTGGTCGAAATATGTCTGAAATGTTACTTTGTTTCATTTTGTCACTGTGTGGACATCTTACTGCATTTCGTAACGTTATGACAAGACCGACAAACAAACTTGCCAACTCACAGACTACAGTAGCTTCCCTTCGTTCGAAATATATAATTTTTAATGACACTGGCTACACATTTCTAACTGCACATAATCTTTGTCTTTTTAATACAATAATAACGATAAAAATGTAAGCAGTAACAATTGTAGAAACTTTTTTTAGAACATATGGAACACGATTTTACCAGATTATTACTTTTATACTTTTACTAAATTGCATTAACCTGAATTGTCGTTTTAATCGTTTTTTTCGACTGATAGTTGTGGCTATATTATTTATTCCAGTGTTCAACTTACATACGATCAAATACGACTTCTACACTAAGGTATTATTCGATAAATGCTATTTATCAGATACACTGAATTTGAGAATAATTGAATTTTTACCATTACAATTTATATAACGTCAATGCCAGAGATTAACCAGTACTCGTCTCGATTGTCAGACACATTCTATTGAGTGTAAAAGGCAAAACAGCGTTGGAAATTCTGTGAATGGATCACTGTCGATCAATGATCAATGATCAATGATCATTGCATGAGCAATTACACATCGGAAAACCACCACTAAGGTAATATTATACAATAGTTTATGAGCCAGTAAACGGCACATCAATGAACAGAGCTTTCTAAAAGCATTGATCATTATTAATAAATATTTGTTTTGCAGATTTAACTATTGACGAATACAGTTTTCGTTTTCGAAAATATACTATTGTTTAAACCAGTAGCATCTCAAATAACAATTAGTCACACTTTCAGAAGTATTGATTCGCTTCAGAAGTCACCTCTGAAGTTGTAGAAAGAAAGCAACGTAGAAAATCATACAGATTCTACTAACAGGATTTTTTGAAAGGGATTGAAGGGCATATCCTTGGCCCACCATCTATTGCTAACCACCCGAGATCGCAGTTAGCACTGGTCGTGAAGTTGAGAGAGACGAAGTCCAGGGTCAGTATTTGCAACTTTCCGTTGCCTATGATGGTGTTGGTGCAGTTGTTGTAGGTACAGTTGCAGGAGTAACATGGCGTCGATATCTGTCCAAATGTCTTTAAGTTGATGGAAGTGCAGTTGTCTGCAACATGGGGTTAAATGTATGTCAATCATCTCTTACGACGTAAATCGTTATAACGCAGTAAATTGTAATAGACTGTGGTAAAATATAACACTGCGGTAAATTGTAATAAACATTGTGGCAAATTGTAATAAACACTGCGGTAAATTGTAATGAAATATTATTCATTTGCAAATATACAAAGAAACATCATGGTACATGAAGTTTAAAAATAAAAACACGATTTTGTTTCAATTTTTGTCTTTCCTGTTGAAAGGCATGAGTGGCAAATTGTAACAAACTGCGGCAAATTGTAATACAAAGTGCGGTAAATTGTTATAACATATCTTAATCCTTCCGATTTTAAACAGAATTCGAGTTACAGTGTTTGTTCGACCTCAACATAATCGATTCCAACCCCCAGCATGTTTCAGGAAATAAAAAAAGGATTCAACAACTTTACTGTTTTCAATTCCGACTAAACAGTACATCAAAACAGAAGTCAACAACGCTTTAAGACTGTTCATACTCAGATATATCTGATGCATGAGTTGAGTCGAATTTAGTTTTTACAACCCACACTCACGAATCATCAAGAATGTACTAGTGAGTTTGTTCTTCGTTACTGGAAGCGTTAAGTTCAGTGCCACTCTTTCAGTTATAGTAGACTCAAATTGAACTTTAGTCTTTAGATTAGTACCTACAAAGCAAGCCGATTTGTTTTCTTCGCACAAATTTTACAATTTGTAGACCCGTCATCGGGAACAGAAAAAAACGCCTCAAATACCAGGGCATGGGTTTGGCCAATATATTTTCAATGAAACTTCAGTAACCCTTTAAGTCAAACAGGTTTAGTAAAAAATACAATAGGCAAACATTATAGATGGTAAATACACACATTTGACTGATTGTGATAGATAACAGGAAAGACGATAAAGGATTATTACGAATCAATAATGTCCTTTAAGGCAAAAAGACAGTATACCGTGTGCGTCACTGTCAAAAGAATATCGAATCTTAAACCCCCTTCTGGTGTTGCTGACATCAGTTCCAAATTTGATGACGAATCTATCCTGAAAGGCATCTGAAACAAAAACGTTGTTACAATAATCGTTAAAAATTGATGGAGTTGATCAGTATGTGTGAACGCCTTTGTAAACATAAGTTATATTGGTAAAGAGTCGAAAGTCTTACACTAAGGATCATATAGATGTATCGCACAGAAGGATCACTTGGACATATCAAAGAGACGCATGTATCACACAGACAGAACACATGCACAGATAGCTTCCACGAATCCCACAAGGATCACATGTACGCAACACACAGATTCATCACATATACAGGTATCACTCAGACGTATCACGCATACATATGAAATGCACGTATCAAAGAGACGTATCACACACACAGTTGATATACACACAGGCGCATCACACATACAAATCACATGCACGCATCAAACAGACGTACCACGCATACAGATGATATGCACGTATCACTCAGATGCACGTATCAGTCAGACGTACATGTACCACACATACAGATGACATACACGTATCACAGAGCCGTATCACACACACAGATGATATACACGCATCCATCACACAGACGTATCACACATACAGATGACATACACATATGACTCACACGGATCACCTGCACGTATCACACAGACGTATCACACGTATAGATAACATGCACGTATCCCACAAACGTATCATACATATAGATTACATGCACGTATCACACAGACGTATCACACATACAGGTAAAACGCACGTACTACTCAGATAAATCACATGCACGCATCAAACATACGTATCACGAATACAGATGATATACACGTATCACACGTATAGATAACTACACGTATCCCACAAACGTATCATACATACAGATATCATGCACATATCACACAGGCGTATCACGCATACAGATGACGTGCACGCATCACACAGGCGTATCACGCATACAGATGCCGTGCACGCATCACCCAGGCGTATCAAGCATACAGATGACATGTACGCATCACACAGGCGTATCACGCATACAGATGACATGGACGCATCACACAGGCGTATCACGCATACAGATGATATACACGCATCACACAGACGTATCACACACACACTTGATATACACGCATCACACAGGCGTATGACACATACAGATGATATGCACGCATCAAACATACGTATCACACATACAGATGACATGCACGCATCAAGATAGGTATCACACATAATATGGTATGCACGTATCACTCAAACGGATAACATGAACGCATCATACAGACACGTCACACACAGAGAGCACACAGACATAACGACATAGCCCTCATACCGGTTACGGGAACGGGTGATATAATTTGACCAAATACACGTGTAACAAAGACGGATCACACACACATATCACGCGATTCATATTTCTCTCTCTTTGTATGTTGTATCAGATAGATTCGATGCTCACATGTCTTATGGAACGGTGTGGGGTTGCACAGTATAGGACCATCGTCTATAACGAGCCAGTCGTAGCTGCAGTCGGTAGTGGATTCCAGGTCCAGCTCAACCAGGTCTATGATGATGTTCTCGGTCTGCCCATCCCCCACGATGACATACGTGCAGTTGAGGTTGTTCATGTAGTTGCCAGGGTAGCCAGGACTGGTAATCTCACCCTCACTGGCGGTCAACATCGTTAAGCAGTTATCTGACAGTGAGAGAAAACAGGACTTTGAACCACTTGTGGTCTGAGCCTTTTCTGACGGTGATCACATAACGAATTACCATAATGCATTATCGTCTTCAGCTGACAGGAACACATGATTTGTGCTAACTACAACACGATTGTTCGCGTAATTGTGAAACATGAATATTGGATTATTTGTATTTATGTAAGACATTCCTTTTCTACGATATGATGTTGTAAGCACCTGTGGTCTGAGCCTTTTTTGATGGTAATCGGATAACGATCTACCCAAATGCTTGATCATCTTAAACTCACAGTAATACAGGAGCTATGACAATTAAAAAGCCCGATTGTTTGCGTTGAATTCAAATTTCAAATTTATAACCCTGAGTTACAAATATATTTGTATTTATTTAAGATGTACAATGCCTACGATAGGATACGCTTATTCTCATTCTCACTCTTCAAAACTATAGACAATGGAATGGGAAAAATAGTTAGTACCAGACTGAAGGGGATAACCAGGGCCATTTAGCAC